CTATTTCAGAGATTTGTAAACACTTTCAACCATGTGAAAAGCCTATGACTTTTTTATAGTAATATTGATCTTGTAGAAATTGCTTTGCTATTGCTTTGTAGAAATTACATACACATCTATAGTATCTCTCTATATATAATATTGCACATATATGTAGATTTTTAACAAATATGTAAATATGCATACATTTTATATATAGAAAAAGATATATGCATATAGCTTTTCCTCTTTCTGAGCTAGGCTTACAAAAGTATTGACTGATTCAAAAACTAGTTAAAATTTTGGAAGATGTTATTTATATAACAAATAAGAAAAAGTGGCTAGGAAAAGGGCAATACCATTTAACCTGAAATTAAACATAAAAATGCTATAATATGCATCCATAGGAAAGCAAAGCAAATGTCTACAAATATGWGAAAGTGTCACATAAGATAGTAAAGAGGTCCTTTTTAAACTTACAAATTCAATGTTAATTATGTATTAAACAGTATGAATAAATAAGAAAATTTATTTCTTAAGAACTTGAAGTTATGCTATTTATGCATCCATATTACCATTTAGCTTCAACCTAAATTTTTAAACACATAGTAGTTTTTTTACATTTTAATTCGTGTAAAAATAGACTTTGCTGAAATGAAGATTCTAATTTATCTGAGTGAATCCTGAGGCCTTGTATTGCTAAGAAGGTTCAGGATGAGGAAGAGGCTGCTGGTCCAYGGACCACACTTTGAGAAGTGAGACTCTCAAGAGTCTTAAAACTTGGTGGCATTGACACTTTGGGAGGGTAGTTCAAGCMACTGGCTTTTGCCTCCAACTAGCACAGGGAGAGGAACAGATCTTTGTGAAAATCAAAATTCAAATGTTCAACTTGGTTTGCTGCTGTTGTTCTTGTTTTTGAACCCAAAAGTTTGAAACAAGCATAAATGAGTKTGTGCATGTGTGCCAGCATTTGTGTGTGTGTGTGCCTTGGTGTGGAGTTGAACCTCCATATGTGCATTACTGTAAGGGAAGTGTGTCAGCTGCTCTCCTGTGAGGATCCTCAGTTTGGACCTGCATTCATCTAAGCATACAAAGTTTAGAGAATTGTCAGGTTCAAATATGCCCTATCTCTGAGGTTAAGCCTTAGCTTATTTCACACATTTCAACAGTTTCCATGTGGATGCTGTTAAGGTTGCCTGGAATTTGGAGATAAGCCCAGGATTAGTCCTGCTTTAAAATCATCATGAAGCTGTGTTATAGGCCTCAAGTTAAGTTGTTAAATATATTTCTTAGAGCTTACTGGAAAAAAAAAGTCCCACAGTAACTTACTTTGGTAAGCTTCAAACACCTAAAAGGGAGTGGCTGTTGAAAATTTACCTGCAGGTCTGTAGTTCATATTTTTAGAGATGGCAGACTTATTTTCTGAGGCTAAAACAATATGTTGTTTACCAAGTTTTCTTTATGAAAAAATATCCAAATTGAAAACCACTGGATGAGATATTGACATTAAGAAGAAAAAAACTTTGGGGAACTATGTCAATACTCTTAAGGCAGAATTTWAAAAATGTCACCATAATAATTCAGAATTATTGTACATATATAAAATATTTTAGTTTTTTTCTTTATTATAGAATTTTCTAATTACTAAARCACTTAGGTTTGTCAGAAAGAGGGATTCTGAATGATTATACTTATGCTAATAGCATGGCGAAACAATTGGCTTTCCTATTATGTTGTGTGTAGCTACTCTGTTGACTTGGAGGACAGGAAATACAAGGCAGACATATTTCATTAAGGATTATCAAAATTGTATTGCCTTTGGCAAAACAATATTGCCCAGTATCTTGCAGACATATAATGCAAAGGTGTTAAAATGCATGCTGAACAGAACTGGGATTGTAAAGTATTTCTGAAAATAAACTCAAAGTGTAACACTTAGAAATAAATTTTTTTAAAAAGTCAAATAAACTCAAAGTGTGACACTTCAGAAATAATTTTTTTKAAAACAAAAGTCAACAGAATCCTTAGATCTTCTTTCACTCTAAATTTGTCTAGGATGCTTAATCTGATTTTTAAAGAGTTGGTAAATAGAACATTATGCATTACAAAGTTGTGATTTCTGGCATAATCCAAGGGGAAAAAAAGGCACAAGTAAATTATCACATTGACAGCATTGTTATATAGATATATCAGAATAAAAAAAAAGAGCAGAAAGAGTTTCTCTGTCTTAGAAACCCTGTAAACAATAGGTGCCCCAGGATAGGTACTCCGGTGGTAGTGAAAATAATCTTGAGAATGATTCTGCTATGATCGATCTCTTTTAGGATTAGATTCTTAGAATTTTATTTCAATAATTGTAAAATATATTGGTCATTTTTTTTTACATTAAAGCAGTCCTAATTTCTCCAATATATATTGAATTACCATGATTAGTCTTCACATCTCCTTTATATTTTTGTTGTTGCTCTTTTCAGGTATACATGACAGTAGAGTGTGTTTGACATATTACACATACAAGGAGTATAATTTTATTCTAATCAAGATCCCATTCCTGGGGTTGTCCATGATGTGAGTTTCACTGGTAATGTATTTATATATGAACATAGGAAAGTTATGTTTTGATTCATTTTACTCACATGTTCTTTAAATGATGCATTTCTGGAGAAAGGTGGGTAGGTAGATTTGATGAAACCAAGAAGATCTCCTCAAAAAGTATAGTGATTCTTTAGATCATAGTAATAGGGGAGTATTTGGTGCTCTCATCAATAGATGAGAACAGTTACTTTCCTGCGTGGTGTATGATGCCCTTGGTTTTATGATAATGCTTCATTATACTTCTCTATTAGGAGTCACTCTCTTTCTCCCCATTTTGATAAAAAGCCCAAGACTGTGAGAAGTTACTTGACCCAATGTTACATGGTGAATAGTAGCTATTGGGACTGTGATGATGCATGTTAATTATGTTAATACWTTGTATTTTCCCAAAATTCAGAAAGCAGCAGTGGTGCTCCTCACGTCCACACAAGCCCTAAGGTATACCAACTACTTTTATGAGATGAGATCTTATAATCCAAATGAAAATTAGGAAGGAGGCTCTTTCCTACTTTACATAATAAGATTACAATGTATCATAAAAGATTATTGAAGTGTTTTTGTACCTTCTTTAAAAATTTACATTTGATTATAAAATAATACGGTCGACTTGATGGCTAGTTGGAATAAAGTATATAAATTAAAGCTTTACCAAAGCATTTAAATAGTGATTAACCTTAAAATTTTTCAATAGGAAAGTAAAAAAAAAAATCACCATTACTGTCCCAAAGAATCCTTTTTCTGCTGTTCTTCTTCACTAATGTTAATTACATTGACAGTCTACTTACTTCCCAGGTAACATTACCTGCCAAACAATGGTTCATCTAAGTTGTTACTGTATCAAATGCAGGTGCCATACTTTCACCTTCATGCACTTTCAATTGAAAAATCCCTCTGAGGAATACTCAGAAAAAAAAATGCTCTACAAACCACAATTTTCTGCTACCAAGTGTTTATTAGTGTACTGCCCCAGGTCAAAATTCTTCTGTAATAAAGAGTTTACCAAGACAAAGTTTATTATGCAGAGAATTATCCAAAGATACACTGATTTATACCTCCTGGTACCAATCATGTTGGATGATCTGCAGCCTAAGATCTTCATTCTTCTTCTCACTTTTAAACAAAGAGTTTTAGCTTGTTCATACATTGTCTTTTTTTTAGTTAATTTAGTAATGGCTGCTTTGAAAGATGTAGCTTTAAATACAAACAAACAAAGAGAATGTGCTATTTAAATTGGTATTTGAAATCTCTAAAAATTTCTGTTTGGGATACTGGCTCTTATTCTAAGCTACACAAGGAAAATCCTCCTTAAAACTAAGCCCAAAGGACCAGGTTGGTAGTTTCACTCTAAAATAATAATGGTAAACAACCACATTTTTGTCATGTAAATTTGAATAGTTATTGATAGGTAACTCCGGGTACTCTGTTAAAGATGCTTCAGTATCAACACACTCAGTCCAGCTTTTACAGAGATTTTGAATAACATGAAAAAATAATGCTTTATTGCAAATTAAATTTCTAGAACTTTAATTAGCCCGTGTGCTTTTAAGATGTACACTCTTCTGAGGCATAAGGACAATATTCAAACAAAATATTTTTTGTCATTCTCACAGATGTAGAGTTAAGTAAACTCTTTTATTCAATGAACTATAAATAGAAAATTATACTCACAAATAGTTGAAAATCATTAGAAAGACTTCCTCCTCTCTCCTCACACAAGCCAAGAAATAGGGACTTTATTGCCCCTGATTAGACCAAATAGGATTTGTGAAGTCCTACCATTAGGAAAGTTTCTAGAATTTTATTCCTTCATGTTATAAATAAAATCGTATGTTATGAAAATATTAAAACTTATGTCAAATTTTCTAATATACTTTTATACCAGATCACTTTGTTATTGTTTAGATACAATGACATGATAAAATAATTAGACTTACCAAGTGAAAATAGTTGTTTGTGTCTCTTATAATTTCTAGTACTTATGAAATAACACGAGCACAGCTTGGAGAATGTGTCATACTTGGTAAATAATAGAGTAGATACACTTTTTAGAAACAGGAACAGGTTTTATAGTTCTGCTTGGATATTTTGCCATTCATATGTGCTTAAAATAATACATTTTTCAATGTTCATCCTGAAGCTGAAGGTAAAATTCAAAGCATTTTGTCAATATCTGTCTATTTTACATCAGAAATGTAAGACAAACTTTTTTATAGTTCTCCAAATGACGTCAATAGCTTCTCATTGTTTCTTTCCCCATCAGCCTACATTTTCTAAAATCATAACAGAGAAAAAACTTCATAATTACCTTTCAGCTGGAATCAGAAAGTCACTATCTGCCTTTTTTTTTTTTTTAAAAAAAAAAGCCCTCAATGATTATTATGTGGGTGGTAACAATGTCAGATAAAATGTTATCAGCTGCATCTTACCTCTATCACTGAAGTCATCTACCAGAATGATTTCGGCTATGAGACTCTCAGGGGTTCGGTTAATTATACTGTGTATGGTCCGCAGGAGTGAAGTCCAACCTTCATTATGAAATGGGATGATGACGCTGGTGTTTGGCAGCCTTTCCAGGTACATCTTGTGCTTACAGCTGGAGAAGATGGAGGAAAAAAAACATGTCAAATGCAAAATTATCATATATCTTATACTGCTAATTATTCATTATGCTATCAGATGATGATGAAAATGTGATTTTTGTCTGATACCTTTTAACCAGTGCTTGTGCACTGTAATAGTTTCTCTCTTCATTCCTGGATTTTTTTAATGATCCCCTTTCACGATCTTAATAAAAACCATTATTTTACTCTCTTTGTATCAGAGGCTCAAATATGTCAGAATGTTAAAATCTTGTGCTCTTGCTAATATAYCTTTTTTCTATTGTTATATAATAAAAATAAGAATAAATGATATAATTGATATAATTTAAAATTGTTTGCACTGAGTGCATGATTAAGTCTTACATGTGTTTCCTGAAGAGTTTTGAAAATTTAACTCATGTAATAATTAAGCTTAATTAGTTTTGACTGTGAAGTGTTTCATTAGCTGGACAGTATTTGTAGCTCTGTGGGGGAAAAATACCCACAGCCTTTCAATAGAATAAATGAAAATTTAATCCTAAGTGACCATTTACTGAACACAACCACATAGTAAGATTAAATTAAGATCCAAACTGAGACATCATTACATTTCTAATATAAACTTTAGGAAGAAATCTCAAGTTGGTTTTTCATTGTGATACAATCTGAGAAGCCACATGGAAGGTATTTTTTTTTTTACCTTGTGCCTTTATCAGTTATTTAATCCAAAGTTTTATCATGTTTAACAATATTTACCAGCAAGTAGATATCGATGTTTTCAAAGCAAATTTAAAGAGTTAGGAAAGCTATGAAATGATACCATGATATACACATAAAATGCTGTTATAAACATGGAACTCATTTTAGGAAAACTTAAATGTCAAGAAAATGTAATATATGAAAGATCTGACAGTAATTTCCAAGGGAGTTCAGTGAGACAGATGCCTTCACATATAATGCACAGATCTGGAAAAGAGTGCTAATGTAATTCAGCACACCTGGTCATAATTATATACAGCCATCCATTCTTCTGAACAATGATAAAGACCCAAGATAATTATATTTCCATATACCAGTATTCAGGATAATTGCAGCTACTGCACAGACTATCATACCTCACAATGTTCTGAGAATGCAAATGGTGTTTTCAAAAAAGCGAATTATTTTTAAAACTTAAGACAAGATATTATACTTATCAATGGCTTATGAATTAAATATGATTTGCATGCAGAACCTATAAATAATCAATAGGCTCATGACTTTAAGTGCCACACAAAATCCAATCAGAAAAAAGGCAGACACAAAGGATGCAAGAAAGGAAGATGGACACAAGAACACACAACCAGGCCTTTCCCTCCTGGAAGTGTTTTCAACAATGTCTGTGTTTATGAGCACAAATTATTATCACACATGAAGTGAAAGGTCCCTTCTGCTCATTTTTTCAATCAAATGGCAATAGCTTATTGATAGTTTAATACAAGCCAGAATCCAAAGTGGAAAATAGTGAGCAAAAGCTAGTTCTTAACTTTAGGACATCTGCAATACAAAGGGAACAACCGAATAAAATCAGTTTAAGTTTAAAATGAAATGTACAGTACAGCTTCAGAAGACGGTGGAGAAGAGAGAGACGCAGATCCAGCAGCTCCTCAGCACCAGATTTATAAAGCAGGAAGACTCCTTCTTAGTGAGGTAACAAAGGAAATTCACTGAAACATAATAGAATTGTAAAAACAAACAAACAAACAAAAATCAGAGAACTACAGAAAGTCATTAACTTGAGCATAAGAAATAATGCTTTAGGTCCTGCCACCTGCAAAGGAGAGTGGGGAGTAAACACAAAAGAGATGTGTGGCCAGTGAATAAAGAAATTAAAAAATAAAGAAAAATCRACCTAGGGCAATATGTGGTTTACAGAGGAAGGCTGGTTTTAATGAATACAGCATTGGTAGGGTAAGAGTCTCATCGGAAACAAATGCAAAGCTGGGCTGAAAGTGTTCCAGGTGGGGAACAAGTGCCACCTTGTGTGGCACAGAAAGCCCYGAATAGAATGGGAACTCATAAAGGAAGTTACCAGCAGCCTACGAAAAAATTCCCAGAGGCTGCCTAAACCAGAGACTGAAATAGGCACAAAGAATGTTTTTCCTGGACCAATCAGTTTCTGGATCCCAAGGGAGAAAAAGAGCATAATAGTTCCCACCCCATTACATCTGTAGTGAAGGTGGTTACTGCAGCCACACAAGTGCATCTGCACTCCAGGGCAGATACCTGGTAATTAATGTCCATAGAAGGAAGGTTAACTCAGTGGAGGGTAAGTCCTTGCACCCTAAAAGTGAATTTTCCTGTAAGTCCCAGGGATCCAGATATACACCAGAGATAGAAATCTGCACAACAACAGGAGCAGTGGACCAAATACCAAATAACCATCAACAGAGTTCCAAAAGGCACCAAAGTCTAAACCCTAGCAACCAGAAACTCCAGTCTAGAACTCTGCCTCACTCCTGCTGCAGGATAGCACAAATCATGAGCACTCATAGAATATCCCACCCAATACTGGAGATTGGAGGCTGAGAGCTACTACACATGGCTGGCAGCAAGGAGAGGGAACAAGACAGTGGCCAAAAATACAGAGCCAAAAATAAATACAAAGACTGAAAATCCTTCCCTGCCTACAGATTTGACCATCAGAGCCAAAGCAAGCCCTCTCTCATTAATATTTGTTTTTTGTTTTCTTTTTCTCTATATTCTCATTTTTTATTTTATTTATTTATTTATTTACAATATTTTTTTAGTTGCCAATGGATTTTTAACTTTGTTTATTTATATGTGGTGCTGAGGATCGAACCAGGGCCTCACATATGTAAGGCAAGCACTCTAACACTGAGCCACAACCCCAGCCCAATTTTTAAAATTTTTTAAATTTTAATATTTTTAAAATTGTCAAACATTATTTCATTGTAAAGTGTTATTTTTCACTTTTCTTATTATGCATAATTTTGTGTGTAGTTGGTTGTGCATGTGTGATTGTGCATGCTCTCACTGCACAGATAAATTTGGATACATATATGCATWTATATACACATACTATATATAAATATATATGTGATACATTGTATATATGTATTCATATAACTTTACTTACAYATTAATTGTTCTCTCCTGTATGTATTCATTATTTAACCTAGATTAGATTTAGATGAGATTAGATTTAGGTGAGCATTTGAGTTGGTTCAATCTTACCTTTGCTGGTTGATTCATACCTAGGCTCTGAGCCCTCCTATCTTCCCCTCTTCTTTTTCTTTCCCCTAGTAAAAACCAAAATTTCCTGTTTCCTCCTCCTCTGATTCTTTTTTCATTACTTTCAGTTAATTTATTATTCCTTTTTCTTACAGCWTACACCTGTTCCCTATTTCTTGACTCTCCTCTGATAATTTTTCAAACACTTAAAATTTTCTCTTGCCTTCCCACCATATTTTATCCTATTTAAGATATTGTAATCCCACTAAATAATCAAAATTATACAGTTTGGGGGACAGACAAGATGGCGAATTAACCACAAGTGAGTTTTCTTACAGCTCTGTGAGTGGGTCAGGACTCAAATAGCAAGAAAACTACTTTTCTGGGAGGTGAGTCAAAGGAAAAACCACTCCACTGATACTCAACATTGGACAGAGAGCCTTGAAGTCACGGAGATTTGGGGTACATCAGACAAAGCTAGGGAACAGAATTGGAGGTGAGCTCCCAATGGGAAAGTGTGGAGGGGAAAGGGGACAAGGTCTGAAAAGATCTGTATCTTGGCATGGGCACGCCCAGGATCAAAGAGACAGTCCACCTTGGGCCAACCCAAAGACTTTTTAGCCCAATAAACTGGTACTCAAAAGTCACTGTTTGCCCCCAGTGTAAGGARAACTCAAGCTGGAAACTTTAATACCTCCCTGAGACAGTGGTGGAAACTCAGACCAGCAGCTTAGCCCCATGAGTTTTGAGCTAAAATCAACACATGAATCCGGAGACCTAAAGTGAGCCTAGCAAATCAGGAGAATCTCTGACATGGAGAATTTCTGGCATAGAGACCACTTTGYCTGGGGGGTAATACAGATCAGAAGAGCCAGAGAAAGCTGATGCCCCTCCCCCACTCCATTGAACTGGCAGCCAACAGCCTCAGGATTTTAGCAGCAGGGAGAAACTGAAGGGSGCAGGGTGGAGTGACTGAGCTTAAGGCTCAGAAACAGTCCTGGAGAAGCCAAAAAAATGCACAACATCCTAGAAAAACAGAACTGTTGAAAGAAGGATTCCCTCTTCCCASAGATGATGATGTATTGCAAAGAGTAGTTGCATACAATCCAAGAAGCAGGTTGATTCATTAATACCAGAAAACTCCCCACATAATAAAACACCTGGGATAATACCAGACCAAATCCCCATCCTTAGGAGCTTCACTTGCACCAACTCATTGCACAGAACCTACAGACAATACCTAGGAAGTTAAGCTGCCAGCATCTTCCACAGTTCCTCACACCATCTGCTGAGATGGGAAGCTGAGAAACAAAAAGGCAGTTTGGCACAGACAGTGGGCAAAAACTCTCATTGACTATTTTGTTTTTGTTTTTGTTATGTTTTGATTTGTTTTTAAGTGTGTTCTGATTGACAAATGATGGACCTTTATATCTTTGTACACATACATATTTGTTTCTGCTTTTTTTCTTAATTTTTATCATTTCTTGAAGGTAACTATTTTTTGTTCTCTCTATTGTTTTTTGAAAGTAGGGTTTTGATTAACATATTTTCTATTGACTTTTTATTGACTCCTTCAAAGTTCTATTTTCCTTTGTTTCTATTTTTCTCTTTTTTCTTGCCAACAGCCAAACCCTATTGCTGTCTCTCTGAATGTTAATTGTTACAATAATTGATCATATCATTTCTGAGTATTGTAACAATCAACATTGTAGATTTTATTGCAAGAGCTATTTGGTTTAATGCAGTAAATTGTTTGCATCAGTTGTTATTATTATCAGTC